TAAGAATAATCTTGGTCTCAATTTTTTTACTGCTGTGCTATGTAACACGTCTAATTCGAATATTCAAGATTTTTAAACAACACAAAGTCAATTCTTTAAAAAGCTACGCAATTAGATTGACATTATGATGATAAAATTTAAAGTTTATTAAGTGATCTGTTTATAATGACTATATTATTATTGTTCGATAATAACATTACAATTTCAAAATGTTAAAATTGTCTAACTACATTCTGGCCCTATGCAACGAAAAGTAAATCGTTAGAGCACAAGAGAGGATCGTACATAGATGTCAAACAGTTAACTCTATATATAAGAAAGCTTATCGAATACATAATGACAATTTTACTACATTAAAGTTTATTGGAAGTGGATTAATTACAAATTTTAGATTAACTTTCTTATTTCAAGAACTTAATTAACCTTGCTTATCAAAGATCACTTATTTCGGGAATTACTTGTGCCAATAATACAAGAGTTCTAGCAGCTCACGTAACCATTGAATCATTGGATAATAATTATACGACAGAGTGAAATCCTCTCTAAATCTTGACTAAACACCCTATTAACATCACATGAGAACGAAATCTGTTACATAACAAGGCCGATAATTAATGTGACGATCAAAGAGGATTTACTCAAAATTTAACGTGGGTTTCACCTATTTCAATAAATCGGTAAAACAAAAAAAAAATGTAGATAAAAAATTTTACTAGAGCTACAAGACTGCTACAAGACTGCTACAATACTGCTACCAAGTATAAGTCATTAACACTCTCTTATTTAGAATAATAAATTTTCAAAAACAGGTTTGATATAACGGATATAATGGAACCAAATTATGATTTACTATTTTGATATTACGGAGCTTTTGATATAACGGAACAAAGGATTGGAACCATGACCTCCGTTATATCGAGAGCCATTGTGCATTACCACAGTATACAAATTTAACCCTGTATTTTGATTCGATAAAATATTGTTCTACAAACGTTCTACAACATTTATACAATATATATAATAAAATATCGATATGTATTCAATCATAACCACCGAGAAGACACTTTGAGTAATAATATGTTTCAAAATCTTATTCAATTATTGAAATTTAAGTTAGGATTTAAATATTTATTTGCAAATATTGATAAATTAAAAAGAAAGAAATTATAAAATATTAATATTATGAGCGGATATGAAATTTTGATCGAAGATTTAAGCAGGTTACTAGATATCGAACCAAATAATGATACAATAGTGGAGATACTTCTCGATTGATAGGAAGATATGAAGAATCACTCAAAGACTTAAACAGATCATTAAAAATTGATCCAAATAATGCAACAGCTTTAAATAATTGTGGATTAACTTATTATCAAATTGGTAAATATGAAAAATCACTTACAGATTTAAATTTATCATTAGAAATTGATTCAAATAAAAGGGTGCTTTAAACCATCGTGGGTTAATTTCTAAGCAAATTGGAAAGCATGAAGAATCACTTGTAATTTGTTACAAATGATTAATCTATTTAAATATTCGTGGAGAAACTTATTATCAAATTATCGACAAATAGGAAGGTATGAAGAATCACTTGCAGATTTAAACAGATTATTAGACATTGATCAAAATAATGTAACGGCTTTAAATGGTCGTAGATTAACTTTTCAAGAAATGCTTAGATATGAAGAATCACTTGCAGATTTTAATAAATCATTAGAAATTGATCCAAATAATGTAAAGACTTTAAATACCCGTGGAGAAACTTATCGACAAATAGAAAGATATGAATAAACACTTGCAGATTTAAACATATCGTTAGAAATTGATCCAAATAATGTAATAGCTTTAGATATTTGTGGATATGCTTAGATATGAAGAATCACTTGCAGATTTAAATAAATCATTAGAAATTGACCCAAATGTTTAACCAATCGTGGATTAAATTATCAAACAATAGGCAGACTTGAATCACTTGCGGATTTTAATAAATCATTAGAAATTACCCAAAATGATGCAAAAGCTCTAAGTTATCGTGGATTAACTTATTACCAAATTTGCAGATATAAAGAAGCGCTAGCAGATTTTAATAAATTATTAGAAATTATTAGAAATTATTAGAAATTGATCCAAATAATGCAACAACCTTATACAATCGTGGATTAACTTAACAAAAAATAGACAGACATGACGAAACACTTGCATATTTAAATAAATCATTAGAAATTGACCCAAATAATGCAAAAACTTTATGCGAACGTGGATTGACTTATCGACAGATACGCAGACATGAAGGATCTATTGCAGATTTAAATAGATCATTAGAAATTGACCCAAATAACACAGCATTTTTATGCAATCGTGGAGAAACTCATCGATTGATAGGCAGATGTGAAGAATCACTTAAAGACTTAAACAAATCATTAGAAATTTATCCAAATAATGCAATTGCTTTAAATAATCGTGGATTAACTTATCAAGATATGCTCAGATATGAAGAATCACTTGCAGATTTTAATAAATCATTAGAAATTGACCCAAATAATGATTCAGCTTTAACTAACCGTAGAGCTCTTAACAGTCGAATTGGCAGATACGAAAAATCACTTACAGATTTAAATAAATTATTAGAAATTAATCCAAATCATGTAATAGCATTAAATAATCGTAGAGTACTTTATCGACACATGAGCAGACATAAAGAATCACTTTCAGATTTAAATAAATCATTTGGAATAAAATCATATAGTTTAGACATGACTTATTTAAGGTTGGGAATCTGTATAGATTGTAAAAAATATAACACTGGATTTTTTTTTATTTCCATTCTTGTGATTCTAAAATAAGTCAAAAATGGATTAGTGGAAATTCTGAAATAGATCAATTTATAAAAAATGCGCAAATGAATTCTATATATTATCATAAAGAAATTGAATTTATATATTATGACAAATTAGAAGATGTTGGTAAAGACGGTTTGGAACAGTTTATTCTGCAACTTGGATTGATGGTAAACAAATATATAATATAGGTACAATAATAATTTATTGATGTCTCGTGTACAATGCAAGGTGACTCTTAAGAGTTTAACTAGAATTCAGAATGTATCAACTGATTTTTTTAATAAGGAAAATAAATTGATTTAATTTTACTGTACATTTTTAAATAAACGAAGATACTAATAATGTTGATGATAATTCAATCATATTAGTTCAAAATACATTATGAATATCAACTTAACAGATATAGTGCAGATAAATATGGAATAGAATTATATGGAATAACCTATAACTCTGCTAATAATGAATATCTAATGGTTTTTGAATATGCTGATAAAGGAGATCTTCGGCAATATTCAACAGATTTTAAAACTCTTGACTGAAAGCAAAAAATAAAATTCTTTGTTCAATTGCTGATAATTTAGATTATATTCATCAAAGTTATATTCATGGAGACTTTCATAATGGCAATATACTTATGATTAGTATCAGAAATACTGTAAACCTTTCTCATATTATAGGTGATAAATTAGCGGTAATTTCACTAAATGTAGAACCAAAAATTTCAGATTTAGGACTATCCAGAAAAATAAATGAATCTACTATAAAACTATATGGAGTAATAACTTTTCAGCATCTGAAGTACTGTTAGGAATGCAGCCTACAAGAGAATCAGATATATATTTAGTTTAGGTGTAATCATGTCGGAAGTTTCAACAGGCAGATCATCTTTTGAAAGTATATCACATAAAACAATTGGTTTTAAATTAAATATAATCGAAGAATTACGACCATAGGAACACCTGATATTTATATAAAACTTGCAAAACAATATATAGATAAAGGTCCAATAAAACGACCAACTGCCAAAGAAGTCTATGAAAAATCACAAGAATGGGAAATAATTCTTAATAAGGAACAAGGATTAAATTAAAATAAAAAATGAATTTTTGGAAGCAGATAAAATTACTTCTACATAATCAAAAATTTTACAAAAACATCAAGATGCTGTGTATATTTGTCAATCTATTAGTAAACTTGATACTTCGAAAACATCCAAGCTAGCAAATACTATAGGTAAATGCAAATAAATTTCTTTTTTCTTTTGTTAATATCATTCTAAACAAATTTATATCACAACAGATTCAACATTATCAATTTTGAGATCCCATATTAGATGAAACTAGAAGCTTATAGAATAACTACAGTAAAATTAATTATTGGTTATATAGGTTAACATGTAATTATTAACTAATAAAATTGCATTGTACCATATTGATAACGTAATCAAATTACACATATCTAGAAATCTGGAAATGAATGTTGCAAATCGAAACCTGGAATTCTTAATGTTTAGAAATTTCAATTTCAGAAACAAACTTGTCAGATTCTTATAAGCTCGTTTTTGAAAACGAAAGTTCGAAAAATCAGCAATTTCGCTTTGCGGCACTCCAATCAGGAATTGATATTGCCATACCCTGCAAACTCTAAACCCTAAATAATCTATATTGTTAAGGATGTGACAATATCAAAAAAAAAAGCGTGGATCCTAAATAAATAAATAATTTAAAGAATTTTAACATTGCCAGATGGTTACAATATTTGAAAAGCACAATAATTCGTACCAATTTACTGTAATTTATTGTAATCGAATACTAACAGTTTAAAACAGTGTTTGCATTTAGACTATGCCCAATAAAAGTTTTACTTGGACTTGGACATGGACTAAACCAAATAGTGTTCATGTCCGGATTAATTCGGAATTATATCTTAATTTTGGCTCAACCATACTCACATTTTATATTTGATGACTTTTCATTCGAAATATTTCGGAACAGTAGGAATTTGCTCTAAATTTATACTGACTAGCTAGTTGGATAATAACCACGTGTATGATTTGGACCAAGAGTATATGTCCGATAGAAAATATGAACAATATGGACATAGTCCATAAATGTCTATGTTCATTGGTCCATATCGTCCGTGTTCATATTTTGCAAACATTGATTAGTAAAAAAACAAATGTGACGGATCTGTAGTTCAATAATGCTAAGTGAGTTTTTCATAGTGCTGGTATTTTATATCATGTGTAAAATTTACGTGAAATCCATGTTACTGAAACTTACACAAATTACATAAAAGATAGGATTGTAAAATGTAATTTTCACCTCAATCATAATACTAGTATAGAATATTCAAACAGACTATTTAAATTAGATAATCGAAAATTATATAAGTAAATAGTTGTACTTTTAATAATAACAAATGTTAGAATAGTTATGAACAGGTTCTTTGATCTTAAAGTATCAATAAAATTTTAAGATCTCTTAAAAAAAAGATTTTTTAATATTTGAGACTATATATTTAAAAAATTTAAAACTATCAAAATATATTTAATAGTTTCTAACTAAGCTTAAAATATATACAAAATAATCATTATGTTTAAGTTAAAATATTAGAATTAATATATTCAAATAGGTTTATGGATAAATATATACATCGCATAGTGCGATACTCCTATTTATTGCGCATCAATTTGATTGATTAAATTCATGTAATAATAATTAATTAAATTGATGTGTGATAAATAAGAGTATAAAAGTTATTTAAATATTTAGATAAGAAACCTTAAGTTTATTTATATAAATACAAAGATAAGCACTTCTAAAAGAAAACATGATTTCAAGATTTGAATTTGAATTTTCAAGGCTGAGTTGATTTAATTATAAGTTCAAATTCTTGAAGTCTAGTTTTCTTGTAATAATGTATACAAACAAAAGCTATTACTTTGTTTATTACTTTGTACATTTCTTTATATAAGCTAAATGCAGTGCTTAATATCCACATGCAAAGTCTTTGTGAATTTGATCGTCGCTGAGAGTTTTGTCTTTCACCATTTACATAAAATGATTTCGCCTAACAATTGTAACCGAAAGAATTTAGAACCCTAGCCATAACAAAACGAAATATCGAGTCGTATAAGTATAATTTCGAAAACTTTACAAAAATTGCACATATATAAAACATATTGTTAAGGTCGGAGAAGTATGGTTAAAAAATTTTGCAGATCTTTTATTTTTTTGAAAAATTGATTTTTTATCGTAAGGTTGCTTAGTTTACACCTAGAATATAATTTATTTGGTTATCAAAGACGTATCAACTTTTGTATATTGAAAATGTAATCCTAGCAAAATCTACAACATTTATTATTTTTGTATAATTATTATCATCGCATCGCATTTTTGTTATATATAATGGTTATTTAAAAAAACTTGGCGGCAATGTCATCCACACGCGCAAGTTTAATTGAAAATTTAATTGAAAACAAAAAGTTACAGCACCCAGTATTCCCATGTTGTCCCCAACCATAGTACTGACTGGGCCATCAGTGGCTTATCTTCGGAGATCGGACGGGTTCCGGAGCTTTTCACTGTGTATGGCCGTAACTGTAAGAAAAACTAAAATGCTTGTTTATAAAGATTCACACCAAAAATATATATATTCGGTTATTCACTGGTTCTTATACTTTTATACTATTTTTTCTCGCTTATTACCCAGATCTCAGATTCGGATTGATCCGGAGTTTTTATATTTCTTTTTGATTACATACCTTTTTTTACTTTTTTAACGTTATACGAAATTTTAAATATTAAAGTCGTTGCTCACTTACTAATATATATAGTAAAATTAAATTAATGTCATAAATCTGATAATAAATAGTAATAATTTATAAATTTTTATATAGCAACTAAATCTCATGCTTATCTACTACGTAATGTTTTAATGTGTAATTATTTAGAAATTCATATTTGGCAATTAAATCTTATACTTGTTCGCTACGTAATATTTAATATTTAATTAATTAAATAATAATTTATAAATTTTACAGTAAATGCTGATACGTTGTGTACATTGTACATGCAAATATAGTCGACATTAAATTTTATTTATAAGATTAATAACATGATCACCATTACGTATTTGGCGCAAAACTGCATTATCGTAATTTTGTTACAGATGCTATAATATCATATTGCTTAAATGCCACAATGAAAGGTCAGGAAGAATCATAGTAGAAGGTCTTGAGTTCATTAATGGATTGAGAAATCATGATAAAATATTGAAGAATGGTATTGTATTAACACCTATACCATTAATGTTATACGTCTATCCGCATAAAGCCATCTGATTTTGCCGACTAACTGGGCCACATATTTAAAGATCTGATTGGTGTTTTCGTGCCACACGTTTTGTTTATTAGGTTTAACATTACGTAGAATTAAAAAATCATTAAATATTTAAATTTACGTTAATAAGATACTACTAATAAACAGTTTCTGGAGCTCTAACAAAAAAGAAAAATTTACAAATTAATTTGTTTAAATTTCGTGTTGCACGGATTTTACCGATTATACGTACGCACTATTTATTCTTAATAAACTTTTTAAATACCAATCTTCAATGATTTATGTTATTAAATAATCTAGACTGGTTTTTGATCTTTAAGATTACAATAGGCTAACGCAAATTTCTTTAGCCTCAAACTGGTTTTAATAATCTACGTAACGGTAAGGGTTTATAATGTGAAAATCGAAACAAAAATTCAAAAAATTTGGAGAGGTTTTTATTTAATTATTCTCTTGCCTGACCTTAGCCTAGCTACCGTTTTATACGTATTAGGTGATGACACGATAAATTACACATAATTAGCAATTTAAGAATTCTATTAAGTTTAGTAACCCCAAAGTATTTGTATAAAATCAAGTTATTAACATGATACTTACGAGCACTGGTTTTTTTCGATTTTTAACAGCTGCCCTACCGTGATTAGTGCGTCGGGGGTACGTCAAGTGTAACCCGGA